AGATACATTTATTCACACTGATATACATCTGGTATCAATTTTAGTGTTTTAGAATTGAATTCAATATGATAATAATAACATTCTGTCAAATTGTCATATTTCAACATATAGAATGAATACCATCTCAGTCAGTTTACAAAATATCATACTTGTATCAAATATGAATACACTTCCCTTGATGAGGAGAACAATCTGAGAAAGTTTTATATTCATGGCAACATTCCATCTAAGGTAATCAAAAGGGAAGATTATACAAGAATAATACATTCAATTATTATATTCATGTCAGTAATCAGTGAAGGTGACACTTCTTTCACCTTATACACATCTCAATATCTAGACTGTCTATTCCACTGAAACTTGAAATATTACCTATCTAGATGATATAATGATGACTCTCCATAGTAACATACATGTGAAATTGAATATTGACACTTTTCATCTTGTTATATTTATAGAGATGGTATCCAACAGAGTCAGTTCACAATCTTAAATATTGAAACTCATTCTGTATGACATACGTGATGTATAGAACGGTTTTTTTATTGAATGTAATCAGTTTGAAATAATTTGATGAAATTGACACTGTCTAATCACCTTTACATGACAAATAGTCCATTGCTTACATTCCATCTCAGTCACTTCAGCGATTTATTGGTTAATTCCACCAACAGTATGTTTCTCATACATTTTAGTACAGTTTATATTTCAAGAGTGATTTCTGTGTAGATTATTATAATCGTAATTCCATGCAATACCAATAAAACTCAGTAGAAGAGTTAATTCTTCTCATTTTCAAATAGATTATTCAATATAGAACACATCTAGATAGTTTCCAGATCATAAAAGTCAAGATACTATATATGGTCTTTGATTAAATTTAAAAATAGACTGCCGTTAATTACTGGAATATTAATATTCAAAGCTTGATGAGCAAGCTATTGATTGAAATCCAACCGATTATTGAATATTGATTATTGAATTGGTGAATAATCACTCTTGATAATGTTACTTATTCATATTGCATGCAAATCAACCTGATTCAATCTACTTCTCAAAGTCCATAATACAAAAGTTGATACTGACCTGACCTTTAAATATCTGTCAATATAAGAAATGAAACCATCAAATTTACATCATTTATAGATGATAAGAAATATAATCAATGATATGAATCTTCACTAAGTAATCTATTAAATAACCCAAATAAATCAATTCTGAATCCTAACCTTACACCTTTTATTTAATAAATATTAAATTTTATAAGGTTAATCTTTTCCAATTGATTCTTAAACAATTTGACAAATTAAAATCAAATCATGATATGATTTTGGGAATGGTTTGATTGGTGATTTCTTTCTTGGTGGTCCAATATGTGGATATTGTTGGAAATCAAATGGAACATCTCCTTCATATCCAAGTACATCTCCAATTCCAGCAATTATTTTCATATTTCCGTTCTTGAAAATCTTTCTTACGCAATGATTATAGTGGTCAGCAAAATAAACTTGATTTTTTGAATCAACAAATATTCCTGTTGGCCAACAAAGTTTTGTTCTTGTTGCTAATTTAAAATCTCCATTATATCCTTTTTTTCCTGGAATTCCTGCAATGTTTTTGATGATTCCATTGGGTAATATCTTTCTTATCACATGATTGTCTAAATCTGAAAAGTAAATTTCATCATTGTGAACAAAGAGAGAGTCAGGGTTGTTCAAACTTGTATCAGTGGCATTCCTTCTATCTCCATTGTATCCTTCAATTCCATTTCCTGCAATTGTGTGGATAATTCCATTTCTATCAATTTTTCTAATCCTATTACTGAAGGAATCTGCAATGTAAATTTCATCTTTGTATTGAAATACACTACTAGGGTATCTCAATGAAGCCAATGTTGCCAATTGATTATCTCCGTTGTATGTCATAATTCCATTTCCAGCAATTGTGCGGATGATGCCATTTCTATCAATCTTTCTCACACGATGATTTCTTTTATCACAAAATAATACTTCATCATTGTCAGTAATAAAAAGACCACAAGGAGAGTTCAATTTTGTATTTACAGCCAATTGATCATCTCCATTGTATTCTGTTTCATATGTTCCGGCAATTTTTGAAATGATTCCAAATTCATCAATCTTGAAAATCAAATTACGTTCACCTTCCGAAATATAAACTTGATTTGATGATGAAACAACAATAGAAGATGGATCATACAATGATCCACGCTCATTTCCTGCAATTGTTACAATTTGACCATTCCGAAGCAATTTTCTCACTCGATCATTACCCGTATCAGCAATAAATACTTCGTCATTTGAAACAAAAACGGCACTTGGACGATTGAGGTTTGACATTTTTTTGATGGTTGTGAACGAACCTGTTGATCATTCAATCCACATTTTTGAGTGTTGGATATATATTCTGTGAATGTTTGAATATTCTTCACAATCATCCCTTCACAAATACACCTTTACACTAATGAATCTGAATAGGAGGGAACACCAGACAATTAACTCTGTGCCCTGTAGAACTTTGATATATTTGAGTAAGATTCCATTGACAATGTGAAACAGTCAATCGCCTTTTCATAATCACAAGCATTCCTGTATGGCCATTCCATTAAGAAAATTGTAAAAGGATTTGATCTTCTCTTTTGTTCCCCAAATTGGATTAAGATTGACAATAGTCTTAATATTAATATCTTTTGTTATATCTATAGAAGCTAATAGGTTCAAAGCAGAATGATTATTACCATTAGAAATATCAATCAAAGCCTTTACCAAAATACAAATCAACTCAACTTCTGGGCTACCGATTACACAACAAGTCAAGGTCCTTAATTGAATCAGTCAATGATAATGGAATATTAACGGAAAGCCTGTCAGGAATATGACGACTATCCCGCGATTCATGTCATGGTATTTTGGAACTTGAAGTACATTAGACATCATAACGTAGTGTGTTGAATCTTCAGAGTAGTTTAAAAAAAGAATAATACCATAATGAAGTGAATTTAAAACAAACTGAAGGTTAGAGAGCTTGTGAAATTGAATTGTATTTGAGGCATGTAGTGTAATTCTAACATCACGATCAGCTCATTTCTCTGAAGTGTTGGTGGCGAAACTCCACCCATGCCTTTTTACTTCATGAAGTAAAAAAAAATGTCTGAAGAAGTACGTTCGTGTAGTGTTTCCTTCTGTCATCGGTCAACCAAAACACTTGTCAGAAATGTCCGAATTCTACGTTGGAGATGAAGCTCAATCAAAACGAGGTCTATTAAATTTGAGAAATCCAATCAATCAAGGAATTGTCAATAATTGGGATGATATGGAAAGGATTTGGTTTCATACTTTTTACAATGAATTGAGAGTTGTTTTGAGGAATATCCAATATTGATGAGTGAAGTTGCGTTGAATCTCAAGACAAATAGAGAGATGATGTCACAAGTCATGTTTGAAAAATTTTGTGTGCCAGCTCTGTATGTTGCTAATAGAGCTGTCTTGGCATTGTACGCTTCTGGAAAAAGTACTGGAATGATTGTGAATTCTGGAGATTCTGTCACTCATGCCGTTCCTATTTATGAAGGTCATACTCTGCCACATGCCATTTTGAAAATGGAAATGAAAATGTTAACAGAAAGAGGATACACTTTCACTAACACTGCTGAAAGAGAAATAGATCGTAAAGAAAAGCTCTGTTACCTTGCTCTCTATTTTCAAGAGGAAATGAATTCGGTTGTAAGAGAGGAACCAACCATTGATAGAAAATTGTATGATATACCAAAGGGTAATGTTGTCACTCTTGGGAATGAAAGATTCAGATGAACATTTAAAAAAGCAAAGACTACAGCACCACAGGTTCCCAAGTTGTCTCCAACCTCAGTACTGATGTGGCTCGACGATGCTTAACTTCTCAAATCGGACGGGATGAGGTGTATTCATCGTGATATGGCCGTAGCCATCATTTATCTTAATTCTTAGTATAAAAACAATCTCATAACACTCATCAAGCAATTACTGATAATCCTTTATTTATTCAAAACCAATTGTTCAGCCACTGAATTTGTACTATCAATATGTTTCGTGTTTTAAAGTAATTAAGGAAGGCGTGCTAATGTTGTTATCTTAATAAATGGGTTGACCTAACATTTAAGTTTATCAAAAACCATCTTCCCATTTTGTGGTAAAGCTAATTCAAGTGCATTGAAACCCTTCGAATAAATCACCTTTTCTAATTTTGGTAATTTTAATAAAGATTCCAATCCAAACTGATCTATTTCAGCATATTTGATGGAGAGTTTCTTAATAGACTCAAATTTAGAGAAATGTTCTGCTAATTCATTGG